TTGTTTTCCTTGTCCCTAAATGTGCCTGTGGCTCTATGCTCTGACTTTGAGCCCATTAATCTTTTGTTCTAAAAGTTCTTCCGAGTAAGCTCATCATTCCAGCATCGTGGGTATCTTACAATTCTATCCTCCTAGTCCTCACCCTTCTCTGGACCCTCATTTCCATTTATACAGCCCACCAGCATCTCAAGTCCAACTGTCTCCAGTGAGAGTATATTTCAAAAATGTGTTTCCCTCCCTCTGCGTTCATTTCACCTCATCACTTCTTGAAGCAAATCCTAGTCCTGGTGAAATAGTTACACGAGGGGGAAAACATCATTCTGGATAGATGCAGAAGACAAAAGGAATGGATTCTTGACTTCTAAGTTTAAGCAGATGTTGGTATGGGTTTAAGGGAAAAGGTCTCAAATGTGAATTTTCCAAGAGAGTATTCCAGTCTATCACAGGAGATGAACTCCCGATGACTTGAGTGAAAGCAGCTTTGCGTTTCTTGAGCAACTGCCATGGAAGTGTTGTAGAGGCAGGTACACGGGAGCAATGCTGAATGTCTTCCTTACTACTGTCTGATAAGGACTGTTCAACAGGCACCCAATACCCATTGTTCTTTGATTGCCTAAAAGAAGGAGCACCTATATATACCCCAATACCGTCCCCAGCATCTGCTGGAATGATGCATCCTTTTGGTTGGTTCATGGCATTCTTAAGCCTCCCAGAATGATCGGCGAGAGCTTTTAATACTGAAGGGTTGGAGTGGCTAGGGTTGCCCGTGAGCTGGGAAAATGGAACATCTGGAGAGCTTTAGCTAAAATGGTGGACATAACTCTATAAATAATGATCTATTTCAAACTGATTACCTTTGGCCCTCCCTATAAGCTCCTGCTCAGTATTTGCTAGTTATTTTTTCTAAGTGTCCTATTTTTGTGAGTCTTAGAAATGCAGGCTCAAAATCCTGGCATCATCTTCAAAAATTTCTCCCTATATTGTGTATCTATGGTGTTGTCTGCTTATCACAGGTCGCTTTTTCTAGAAGTGATAGCTCACATCCTCACCAACCTTCCCCCACCCCCAAACACTCATTATGTTGGGAGGACCCCATGTTCTCACATGACCCGTTTCTCATCTACAGCCATTATTTATTGCCCTCAGTGTGGGTATTTGCACCAAGGTGGAAGAGTCTATATCAGAAAGCCTTGAGCTGCAAGTTACAGAAAACCTGACAAAAAGTACCTTAACTTATTTTTGCTCAAATAACAAGAAGTCCAAAGGTAAGAAGCCCAAGGCTGAAGTATTTGCTTAAGGATGTCATCTCGACCCAGGATGCTTCTATCTAACTGCTCTGCCAACTTTTTCATGGGACTTTCATAGTCTTGGTCACAAAATGGTTGCTGTAACTCCAGACATCACATCCATATTACTTTAGGGAAGAATTGGAGAGAAGGTAAAGAAACTGAAACTACAAACCTGTCCCTTTTATTTCCTTCAATCTTTGAGTGCTACCTAAATCTCTGTGAAAAACTAATTTTTTCCAGTTAAAGAAAAAGTAGGTCAACGATACTAAACTGCAGTGAATGTTTAGTCTATATACATTCTTAAGAACAAATTATTTTATTGATCTATGTAATCATTTGCTTCTGTAGATCTAAAAGTTGTAGATCTCTGTAGATCTATAAATTGTGGGACAAAATAGAGTAAAATCTTTTAAAAATTCCATTTATTTGCTCATCTTACCACCCCTCCCATCACTCTCACCAGAATTTTTGATAAGTTGGGCAAAAGCATGCCAAGGCAAGCCCATGTTTTTAGTAATACTTGGTTACTAATTAGTTCAAGTTTCTGTATCTATCTGAAAGCAATAGAGCTGAGCCAATTTGCTAATACATTTCTTTTCTTTCTTTCTTTCTTTCTTTTTCCAGTTGGAGTCTGACTCTTGTTGCCCAGGCTGGAGTGCAGCAGCACGCTCCAGGCTCGACCTGCTGGACTTAGGTGATCCTTCCACCTCAGCCTTCCAAGCAGCTGGAACTACAGACGCATGCCACCATGCCTGACTAGTGTGTGTGTGTGTGTGTGTGTGTGTGTGTGAGCAGCTGGAACTACAGACGCACGCCACCATGCCTGATGTGTGTGTGTGTGTGTGTGTGTGTGTGTGTGTGTGTGTGTGTGTGTGTGTGATTAATTGTAGAGATGCGGTTTCACCAAGTTGCCCAAACGGTAACATGTTTCTTAAGTTTGGCTCTCAAAATTTGGGAATTGGTGAAAATAGCATGATTTAGTAAAAATAGTGGGAATTCTAGGGGTGCATGTGTGTGTGTTTTAAGAAGGCAGTAAAGCTACCAGGGGGGATGAAGTTGGCCCCCCAAATTCTCTCTAGAAGAAGAAAAACGAATATACCACCAGCAGGCCTAAAATAAGTTATGTTCAACAGGGTTATAAGGGATAGAAGAATAATACATTTCATAAGATTCTGAGAAGCATGTGGCGTTTAAGAATGATGTTTATATACCTATATCTAGTAAATCTGTATAAGACTCGCCAGAATCTTTTTGGCTGGTAGGGAAGGTCATATAAAAATCTGTAATCCCAGTACTTTGGGAGGCCACGGCAAATGGATTGCCTGAGCCTGCGAGTTCGAGACCAGCCCAGGCAACCTGGTAAGACCTCTTACCTTTGGACTTCTTGTTATTTGAATAAAAATAAGTTAAATACAATTTTAAAAATTAGCCAGATGTGGTAGCACACTCCTGTAGTTCCAGTTACTTGGAAGGCTGAAGCAGAAGGATCGCTAGAGCCCATCAGGTCGTCACCGGGGTGGCAGAGAGTGTCCAAGGCCCTCCAACCTGGGTGACAGAGTGAGACTCCACCTAAAATAAAAAATAAAAAAAATCAAGTTCAAAGCAATATAGGAGACTGAGTACAAATATAGATAAAAACTCTGAACACCTTATGTTGTACAGCACAATATTCCTGCTAGCTTTCTGATGTATTCAGTTTCTTAGATAAAAGCTGTCTTTTCTTCCACACTGACAAAAAAGATGTCAGATAAGATTCGGGACAATTTGAACCCCCAAGAACGTGATTTAAACTCACACTTACCAAGTTATTAAGGCCTTTCTTAGGCATTGCATGATAGATTTATGGTAGGGAGTGTGCTGAGAACCAGAGGAGGAGAGGAGAGAGTCCCTTTGCACAGAAAAGCTAAGGCTGGAAGAGATGGAAACCTGGAAGCTAGTACACAATTTGCTCAGGGCCAACCTTTGTGACTGGGCAAGTGTTTACAACAGCTTGTTCTTACTTAGCTTTTATGAACTTTATAGGTATTTGCAGAATAAGAGAATAATAAAGAGGGTTTCTTACAAATAAATGGGCCAGAGAGGTTCTTTTTCATTAATGAGGTTCATTTATCATCATCAGGCCCAGCCCAACCCCATCGCAGGCATCCAGAAGAGGCCCTCAGTCCTTCCTAGAATGATCATCTTACTTCCTTTCCTCCTCTGCTAACTTGGCCTCCTGGCTGGTTACACTATGGCTAGACGCTACAGTGTTTTTTCTTCCCTAAAAGTAGTTTATTCACTTCTCAATCCAGGCCTTTACCTTCCATTGACTCTTAGCTGCTAGGCTTGGGCAAGCATGCCCACCCCCACCAAACTGGAATATCAGATGTGTTAGCTTGTTTCCTTATTTCTTTAAAGCGGATGTGTGTGTGTGTGTGTGTGTGTGTGTGTGTGTGTGTGTGTGTTTGTGTGTGTGTGTGTGTGTGTGTTGAACGTGGGGGGAGGGAAATTGGGAGGGATTCAGAGTGGGAGAAAGGAGTGTGGATGTGTACCCTACCTATTTTACAGGAGTTGTTGGAAGTATTAAATGTGAGAGATATTTGGCAGCACCCTATAATAGCAAGATAAGTATTTTTAAATTTCTTATTTCTTAATCATCAAAACCCACATGCCCAGCCCTTCCAGTAATTTTACGCTGAAGTAAAACCATCACTTTGCTTTTCCTGTTTCTAAAATAATCAGTTAGGCTCTGCAGAAGCAAAGCCTAGGAAGATCTTCAGGATCTAGAACTGTGTTGTGGACTTGGCCACAGAAAGTCTTTTCTCTTAGGGGCCCTTTATTAGCCTTTCCCGCTCCCTTTAGAAACTCGCCTTTAGGTAAGGAATTTCCCAGGCCTCACCCCAACTCTTACAAGCTCTAGGAGTAGAGGTACCGTGGCAAAGGGACAGTCTAGAGCAGAGGTCCTCAAACTTTTAAAACAGGGGGCCAGTTCACTGTCCCTCAGACCGTTGGAGGGGCGGACTATAGTTTAAAAAAAAAAACTAT